TATCGCAACGCCAAGTTCGGAGAGCAGGAGATCAGGGTCGCGGATGTGAACGGTGAAGAAGAACGAAGAAAGTTTGCGCACTACCTATGGAATGCCGGCGTCATGATGGCAGAACTAGTCAGCGGGCGAGTGGAGGGCGGCGATCTGGGTGCAAGTGGCAAGGGTCTGCACGAGGATGAGGAGGGCTGGAGAGATGGCGCATGGTGGACAGACAAAGAAGAAGAGAAGAAGTGGAGCGTGGAGGGCGAGACGGTGTTGGAGTTGGGTGCAGGTGGGTCGGGCTGAGTAAAGAGCGGTGCAGAAGAGAGTACTGATGGAATATATGCTTGCAGGCGTAGGATTGGGCGGGATTCTGGGTACATTGGCAGGAGCGAAAGAGGTACGTCCATGCTCAGACTCGGATTGTGCATAGGCTCCAACTAACGACCCGCCAGGTTGCCATCACCGACTATCCTGCCGCTCCTATCCTCGATACCCTCAGAACGAACGTCGCGAAGAACGTCCCCGCGCATCTCAAGCCCAATGTGACTGTCGAAGGTCACCAATGGGGCTCCACAAGCACACCCTTCGAGGCCGCGCACGCGAACCGCTACACGCGCATTCTCGCTGCAGATTGTCTCTGGATGCCATGGGAGCACGAGAGCCTCGCCAAATCGATGCTGCACTTTCTATCCGACGACCCATCCGCACGTATATATTGTATCGCAGGCTTCCATACAGGACGCGCCAAAGTCGCACCCTTCTTCGAGGAAGTGATATCGGAGCAAGGGCTCGAGATCGAGGAGATATACGAGATGGACGTAAACGGGCAGCGGCGGTCATGGGCGAAAGAGCGCGACGGTGGTACGGAGAATATGGGAGAGCGGAAGAAGTGGCTCGTTCTCGCGCGGATACGGCGGGCTGTTCGGCAGTAGTAATGGTAGTAATTCTTCTTCTCAGCAGACGAAGCGCTGAATCACACCCTCTTGAAGCACAGCGTAACCACACTGCTACCCGTCTTGCCTCCAAAAGTGAAGCTGGGGTACTTCACTTTGCCCTCGAACTCCAACTCTCCGCCTCCAAACCAGCCCTTGAGCTCTTCTTCTGTCCAATTGCAGCTCGTGATGAGGAATCTGCCGCCCTTTTTCATGAGGGGCTCAACCTTTTCCCTGTATCCTTCGCAGATCCTACGGCCTTGCGCGTCTTCTTCTTGCGACAAGCAGATGGCGTCGAATGTGCCCTTGTCCAGTACGACGTCGAAGCCAGCGCCTAGCCACGCGCCCGGTGCTTGCGACAGAATATCCCACTCATGGAACACGATGTCCCTATAAGAGTCATCCTTCGCGTCGCGAATCGACGTGGCAAGCGTGACGCTCTGCGCAGAGTAGTCGACGCCGACCATCTCGCCGTTCCACTCGTCCTCGCGCAGCGCAAACAGCAAATGCCCATTGCCTGTTCCCAGATCCAGGAACCGCGCCGCGTTGTGGTCGTCCCCGTCGTCCTCTTTGTGTATGTGGCCCTCGTCGCTGAGGTCTTCAAGGAAGGATAGCATGCGCTCTTCGGCGCCCGCGTCGCTGAACCATATCGTGCCTTCGTCGTCGGCGTTTGCGGCAAAGTTTTGGCGTTCGGTGTTGTAGGCGGCGTCCCAGTAGGATTTGGTGCCCAGTTCGCTGGGGTCGAGGTGCGTGGGTGCGGTCATTGGATGAAGGTACGAGGAAGAAGGAGCGACTGCAGTGGGTGTAGGAGACGTGGGTGATGCGACGTTGTGGCAGAAAGTTGGTGTTTTGGAGGGGCAGATCTTTGGTTCCTGGCTAGGCGCTCGCGCGCCGTGCAAGCGAGACGGGCGTGGCGCGCTGCCCTATGTAGGAATGACAAAGCATGTCAATCATCATATGCACATAGCGATTGTCATAAGAAGAGTCGCATGGATCAGATTGTATTTACTGGGTTTCTTTTCGAAGTATGTGGTCGTCATTGCATTTGCTCCAAGCTACATCGAACCACATTCGCTACCTAGGTATCCGCCGTCCACCATCAGACATTGTCTAGGTCTGCGAGTACCCCTACGAGGGTCGCTCGCTGCTACGAATCACCTCACCCTTATAGACTGTCCGATGGACAAGGTCATAACCTTGAGGGTCTACCTGATACCGAGCGTTGGTTCGCTTCCAATAGTCTGTTTGAATCCCTTTGAGCCAAACCTCGTCTTTCCACTCTTTTGCCCATTCGTCTACTATCCAATGTCGTCTCTCAAAAAAGAAATCGTCCCCATGCCATATGTCCCCTACTTCTCCAGTGAAGGTTATGTTGATCGTACCGTTGATCACGGCGCGGATAGTGTTGGAAAACCCGTCCGGTAGATGCCAAGGCAAGCCACTAGGGCCTAGAAAGCAACGGCCGAACAATCTGGAGGTTGGATGCGTATTGTTTACTCGGCATTGATGTAGCATGGCTTCTTGCATGGCTGCCGCGTACTTGAGAATGTCCCAAGCCTCGAGAGATTCGCGTGAGTGGCCATCGATGACGAGCCGAAAGGAGCTCTCAGGCATCCCACGGGTATGAAGTAGGTGAACCTCCATCAGCCACGGAATAACAGCATCTAAAACGTCGGATCCACCAATCCAGTCATGCCCGTTGATGTCGCTGTATGAATGACCTAAAGGTAGGAGATTGGCTAGAAGATCGATGCGTCTCTCGATCCGAAGCTGTGGATGCGCTTGGCATATAGAAATGAGACCTCGTACATGGCATACAGAACGCGGCATCGACTTGAAGTCTTCGTGGAGGACGAGCTTGCGCAAATTATGCAACCTTTTTGGGGGGATTTGATGCACTGCGCCTGGTGTTAGAAAGCCCGTTTCGTGTGGATAGTCCTATGTTATAGTACCCAGCGCTATGATGGAGGACCTGGGAAGTCAATGAGATGGGGTATCACTTACGAAAGTCGATCGCTACTGCTGCAGCAGAGAAGTAGTATTTACTGTTACGTAGTCGGCGAGGGTCATCCACATGGCACCAGTTGTAGATCAGCTCATCGTCTTCTTCAGGCCGGCAAACGAGTCTCTCCATTCTGGCAAGTTCGCTATCCGTCGGAATAGACCAAGGCTTTGGCCTCCCACAGAGTACATCGTACAGCGCCCCTTTCACAAATATGTTATACTGGCCCATACCTCGAAGGTTGTTCACGCGGCGGATCCTGTTTCCGAAAATTCCGCACGAGAGCTTCTATGAAGTCTTGAGATGTGTGATTGTCCAAGCTCATGTCCATGTATTGGGAGAGTGTGTTAGTATTTTGCGCGATTGCCTGTTGCAGATGTCGTTCGAAACAGTCTTCGATGACTGGATAACGAGCTTTTATTTCAGCAAGATCTGACGCCTCAAGTAGGTTCGCGACACAGATCAAAATGTGTTGCCTCTGGACCTGAACCATATCGAATACTAAAAAGCACATCAGTCTAAGCTCACAACCACTCAACGACATTCGACACTTACGCTGGCAAAATCGAGCGACTCTAGATCGGAGTTGCTGGAACACTGTGCCATCATCCAAGGAGCAAAGCGTAGTGAACTCGACATTCTGGAAAGCGACGTGCTGCATCTCGTCTGCAGCGATCTTGCAGGTTGTTATAAGACCGATGCCCTCCGCCTGTGCTGAAGCATCGGAGTAACGTAGCTTTTCCGTGTCCTTATCGTACACATACTGTGGTCGACCCTGGGCATAGTACTCGTAAATGGTATCCCGTATTTCTCGTGGAAGTCGAAAGAACGGCGACTGTGTTTGTCCAAGGATGTACTTTGTCTTTGGTGTCGTCATGAAGGGAAACATGTTCCAGTGCGCGAAGTTGTTGGAGCCTCTCTTGTTGAAAGCCATCTTGGGTGTATTGGGTGCCATGCAGATGTCGATTGCGACTGCCCGGCATCTTATAGTGCGATGGCGCAGTGTCAGTCATACCTCCTCTGGCCTTTTGCCGATGACTCCCAAGAAGGATGCACCATGGTACCAAACTATGGTATACGGTATGATTGCGATAGCGTAGATGTTGTTCGCAATGACCAGCCCGGACCAGAACCAGACCGCAGTCTGAGTCAAAGGCGCACTCTATTCTTTCTCAACCAAACTAAGGCTTGCTGGTCGTAAGCAGATTCATCGGGTTGAAGTGTGCTCATTGGCTGATCACCTGGGCACCATTCAGCTTCAGTGCAACGACTCATCGGTGGCCGTAGGGTTGTATTCTCAGTGTGAGTGGCATGTCCGTCAAGAGTAGAGCTGTAATTGTGGGTGCTACTGGTTCTACGCGACGCGAACGAAGAGATGGATGGTCGGTCTTGCGCGGCCAAGTTGGCGCGGGCAGCCCAAGCTGGAGGGCAAGCGCACCCGCCCAGGCGCGCATAGTCGCACCTTCCAGGCGAACAGAACGGCACCCAAGCTGCATCCTGCTTCACAGCCCTCCGAAACCGTAACTTCAATCGCCTATTGGATCTCATGTCGCAATATTACCTGGATGGGTCTGAGAATTCTCGGATGCCCACACCTCAAGCGCCCTCGTGGACGACGCATGTTCCAGGATGGCGGCCGCCGTCCGACCCGCCTTTGAACTTCGACGAAGATAGGACCTTATCCACGCGTAATAAATTCTGCACACATTCACATCCCGCGTCTTCCAGTCACGCAGTGGCCGTATAGCTAGCTCTAGATGTCCTGAACTCGATGTTGTGTAGAGTGACTCCCGAGGTCGTTTTCGTACGCAATCAGTCCGCGCACACTGCGACCGGCTTCTATCCTACGTTCGAACGAGGCAGCACTACGAGTCGTTTCAAGTGAAGCGGTATGAACTATGACACATCCACAATTCGCATGCCATGCGCACTACAGCCAGGTTTTTCTGTGCGTTGCGACCCAGAACAGAGGTGGGGGCAAAGCGGCCAGTTGCCTTGTTGAAGAGAACTCGGTCAAACCTCACGATCGCGGTCTATCGGTTACTGCTGAATTTACGACGGGCTTGCTATGGAAAAGTCACGCGCTAACATGGCAAGCGTTCCTTGAGATAACGCGCTGAAATCTTCGGCCAGAAGTTCGAGACGATGCCCTGGTCGACGGTCTCATTCCAGTCTGTCTCCCACTGCAATTCTGTCCAATCCTTCCTTTCGGAGAAGAAGGTGTCTTCGTCCCAAACCTCGCCCACGTCTCCGTTGTACCATACGACCGAATTGCCCTCACAGATATCGCGAACCATCCTTGCGAATCCTGAAGGGAAGTCCCAAACTGCAGAATCGCCATCGTACATCGGGCGCAACTCCCCTGTGGGCAGGTCTGTACCGCTGAGTTGCAACTGCTTGTGTCGGGCCTGCTGCGTAGCGGCAGCATATTTAAGCATGTGCCAGAATTCTGAAGATTCCCTTGCATCGTCATCTACAACAAGTTGAAATGACGGCAGAGGCATCCCAAAGGAAGGTAGCAGAAGTGCTTCCTCAATCCATGGAAGCAGCACTTGGAAACAGTCTTCACTGTAAATGAACTGGTCTTCGTAGCCAGACACATAATCAGAGCCTGGTGGAAGGAGATTTGTAAGCAAGCTGATCCGTCTCTCAATGCGAAGTCGAGGATTCTCATGACAGAATGGGACAAGGCCGCGCGCATGGCATTCTGGTCTGGACACGGCTTTGACGTCTTCATTCAGTACGACTGATCGGAAGTTGGCCCTGCGTTGTTTGGTTATGCTTTGAACTGTCAACAAGTTAGTAAAAGCGTCTCGCAATCGCCCACTGTAGCCTCAATGGATTAGGTGACCTAGAAATAGATGCTGGATTGAACTCACAAAACTCAATCGCCACAGCGGCAGCAGAAAAGTACCAACGATAACGCGCAGCATGGAAATGTTCTGCGATATCGGGGAAGTAGAAGACGCCTTCTTCTGTAGTTGGAAGCAAAGTGTCCGAATCGCCAGGCTCACAAATGAGTCTTTCGAGTTTTGACAACTCTTCATCTCCCGGGATGGACTACGGTGTAGGATGCCAGTGATATATGTCGGATAGAGCTCCCTGTACGAATAGGTTGTTCTGCAAGAAACCTAACGTAGTCGATCTGATGGGACAGTCACCGAGACCGAAGGTCTCACATGCAAGCTCTGCAAATCTTGACGGATGTCGGTTTTTCGCTAGTACCAGTGCATGTTGGAGAGCATCGCTGAACGACTGGCTAAGGAATTCTTTGCAACTGTCATCCGATGTACCAAGCTCGTCCTTTCGATGTGTAACTGCGTGGTTCAGAGGTGTGTGGAACCAGTGCTTGACTGTGGGGAATCGGCTGTCTTTGTCCATCAGGTCGTCAGGTTGTAGTAATGCGGCAGCGCAGACTAACATGCGAAATTTTTGTCGCTCGACATATTTCAACACTGCGTCTCTGTCAGAATGTCGTTGTAGATAGGGTAACCAAGAATATTACTGACAGCACCTAAAGCGCCCTGCCCTTGAACGAACGTTCATGTATTCTTTCCCATCATCTAATGAACGTTTGGGGTAGAAGTGAACTCTTCCGAAGGCACTGTCTTTCATTTCTTCTGCAGCGATGCGACACGTAATTCGTAGACCTAGCCGAACGACTTGCTTAGGCGATATTGACGGGTTCTGGTATAGCAGCTTGCCGGTCTCATTGTCGTAGTGGTAACCGTCATGCTCGAGAAGGCAGTATTCGTAAATGACATCTCGAATCTCTTGAGGAAGGCGGAAGAGTGGTGACTGGAGTTGAGCGGAATAGTATTTGGTTTTTGGGGCGGTCATGAAAGGGAACGTATTCCAATGCGCAAACTTGCTAGACGGCCTGGCAACGGGTGTAAAAGCCATGGTGATAGATTTGCGAAGCGTAGGAAAAGAAAGTTCTTAGCAAACATGAGTAAGGGAATTATTGTGACGTGGCCATGACTCCTCTTGATATTGCCTGGTAAGGTTATCAAAACCGTGGCTCGGGCAAGATCGCGGCGAACCCCTACCAAAGTTTAGGATGGCGCCATGACTCATGCTCGAGAATGGCTCCAGAGAGCCACAACGTTCCATGATTAGAGGCCTGATATGATTGAATCATTTCTTATCAGCAGATGATTGACGTTGACCGAAAAAAAGGGTCGATTCAACGTATCCAGGATATGACGGCAGAAGTGGTGGTGGCAGCCCCACAATACGGAGATGATGTGTACAAGACATCTAAAATACACGATGCGTGTGAAGTGGGCTGACGAATATTTTGGATACAATGAGTTCAAGAGGTACTTTATGAAAGACACCGCGGCAGCTAATGGTTGCGCGCGGTGACCGTTTTTGCTCAAACCTCAGACCGGTTACTGTACTTGTTGAAAATAGAAGGCCAGCAATCCGTGGCGATAGCCTCCGTAAATGTGACCTTCACTTTCCAATCCTCTTCCCAGTCATCATCTGTCCAATCTTTTCGCTGCTGAAAGAACTCTTCCTCATCCCAGAGCTCACCAACTTCCCCATCGTAGTAAACCATAGATCTACGTTCTGCAATGTCTCGAATCATTCGTGCAAACCCTGCTGGGAGACTCCAGACGCCAAGAAGACAATCGGCATAGTGTAACGGTGCCGGTCTAGGCTCGAGCGGACCACCGCTTGCTTTGCGCTGCCTGAGTAAAGCCTCCTGTGTAGCCGCCACGTATTTCAGTAATTTCCAAGCCTCTGCCGCCTCTGTACCGCGACCGTCGATACGAAGCTGGAAAGAATGTACTGACATCCCGTAAGACGCTAAAAACAGCGTTTCTTCGATCCAGGGGACCATCACGTCTAGACAATGACTACCCATGATTGTGGTATCTCGTATATCTATCCTCTGGACGATCAGAGCCGGGAGCAGGTTTCTCACGATACCTATATGCCTGACGATGTGAAGCTTGGGATGTTCCAGACAGAACGGTATGAAACCGCGCGCATGAGAAACCGGACGGGACACCGCCTTGAACTCTTCATCGATGAAGATCGTCCGCATACAGTCTCTCTGCTGCTTTGAAGAGTGTTGTACTGTTCATATCAGTGTGCTGCCGTTGATCGAGGTTTTGCCTCTCTTACAGAAGTTGATTGCCACAGCTGCAGCAGAGAAATACCACCGATGATCTAACGCGTCTAGCTGACATGTGATGCCATCGAAACAACGCGTTCCGTTCTCTTTCGTTTTCACCAAAGGGTTGTCCAGGTCGGTGGGCTGACATATGAGAGCCTCAATCTTGGCCAACTCATTCTCCTCTGGAAGGCACCATAGCTCGGGCAGCCAGTGAAGTATCTCTGGAAAAGCACCTTCCGTGAAGATGTTGTGCTGTGGCATTCCCATTGCATAATTTCGGATAGGGCATGTCCGCATACCAAACGTGGTAGAGGCAAGAGCCTCAAATTTGGAGGGATGTCGAGCCTGAACAAGCATCAGTGCGTGGTGCAGAGCTTCGTTGAAATCCAGGTTGCGGATATCCTCGCGACGGTCTCTAGGATTGGCAAATTCTCCGTTGCTTTGCGCAGCCATTGCTTCTTGCAAAGTCCGCCGATACCACGTCTCCACCGAAGGATAGCTCGCGAACAGAACATCAAAATCTTCTCGATGGAGGAGCTGCGCGACGAGTATAAGCATACGGCACTTCTGGTTCTCAACGTAGCCGAGTACTACGGCGAAGTGTTAGCGCTGAAGACACAGACCAGTTCATGCTGATACATACAGCACTCGAAGCGGCCCGCTCGCGAACGAAGCCCTTGGTATCCAATGTCATCAACGATCGAACCCGTTCCATGAAAATTGAGCTGGGGAAATGCGACATCCCTCATCTCCTCGTTGGCGATGCGGCAAGTGATACGGAGACCGAGTCGTACCACCAGTGGTTTGGGCGTTGTGGAAGGACTCTGATAAAGGAACTTCTTGACCGAACTATCGTAGTGATATCCATCTTCCTCAGACAGGTAGTACTCATAGATTCGATCCCGGATTTCGCGAGGCAGGCGATAGAGTGGTGATTGGAGCTGCGTGGAATAGCGCTTTGGTACGACACTTGAGGTCGGCATCGGTGTTGGTGTTGTAGAAGCCATGGAGGCTGTACCTAGAATGAGATACTGCTGTTATAAGTATTTACTCACATTTTCTGCACCTACATTTAGGTCACGCTTTCCCTCATTTCGTATGCTAGGAAGACTCATCGTTTCTAGTATGGGAACGAACCACAGGCCGTGCCAACATTGCGCGAGGAGTCAGGGCGCTAAGAGACCCCAAACCATGTTCTTCAGGGACTGACTCGTCGATATCATCGTTGCTCAGCAAGTAACACGAAGGTAGCCGTTGGTAAAATCGTATTATCTCCCGAGTAGCTTGCAACGTGGATTTGCCGATTGGAGAGAAGTCGACGAGTGTAGCACAGCATCCGGTACAGGACTGGAGATCTGTGCAGAGGTGATTACGACAATCTCTCGTGACTCAAACGCGGACAGTCACGTCGCAATAGTTGTGTTTCGGCGGAACGCGACGCGATGATACATTCTTGACTCTAATGATGGAGGATGTCGTGGGTGGTGCGGACGATGCGGCTAGATGGAACTTTTCTGAATCTGGCTAGGCCAAAAAAAGTTCGAGGCTACGTCATGGTTAGTGGAAAGGTGTGGGCAGGTGGCTGCAGTGCCTACACGCTTCACAGGCTTAATTCTCATATATACGCATCTCGCTTGCAGATAAATGTCGCCGTGTTTGTGAGATATTCATTGTCTCTATCGCGCTCCTGGTAGGTAGAACAGACACCCGAGCTTCAACCCTGTTCTTGCACTTTGAACATCGCAAGCCAAGGTTTGGCCTATTGATACCAAAACCCAAAGGCATCCCCATTCCCAAACTCCTGGTTGACGAACCCGTCCGCCAGATCGCCAAAGTCAAACACCGCATTTTCTTCGTCTGGAAATGCGGAATCGTGCCGTCCAGTAGAAGCAAGGTTGTGTTCATACGCGCCAGTAAGAATCCTGTCGCTGTAATTGAAATCGACATCACCAACACCCGCCATGAAGTCGTCGAAAACAAGTTCCGGCAACAGAGGTGCATCCAATCCAGGCGCGTGAGTAAATGCCAGTGCAGTATCGAAAGCATCGGCTGCCTGACTTTGCGACTCAAAGTGGTGCTGCTCACGCGATGATCGGAAAGTAAGCGTCCGTGCCAACTTCGAGAGCACCTTCGGGCGTCCTTCGCTCGAAGTCGGCCTCTTCTTACTCGCCTCAGAATCCTGTCTTGTGGTCCCTTTCCAGTCCGCCATTGTTAAACCATCTTTGAAGTGGCATGCTATGTGCGTCTCACGATCGTCCCAAGTCTTCAGCACCTTTGCGCAGAAACCGCAAACCCAGTTCACCACGGCATGATTACCTAGGCCCTCTCGTCTCCAGAGATCGCGGGTGGTCTCATCTAATTTCGCTTTGTGGAAGTTCTTGACGTGCTGACGCAGGTGATCGGGTCGCAGAAACGTTCTTTCGCTTTCGTCCTTGGCCATGCACTCAGCTACGCGGTGGCATTCGGCGAAGTGCTTGTCGCTGGGGTTCGCTGCCATGCAGAACACACACGACGTAGACGCATCTGAACGAGACGATATGGTGAGACTAGGGCCAGTGAGCAAGCATGTCCACTTTCGTTTGGGTCGATGCTGGGTTTCCTCATGGCGGCGCCAGGATTTACGCGCGATATGTTGGTAGCAAAAGGTGCACTGCCACGTCTGCGATTCGCTATCGACATCATCGGTAGATGGAAGTTGTGATTTGGATGCGAACGAATGCGCTTTGGAGACCGAAGTAGGTACGTTGACAGACTGGCCATAATCCTTCTTCTTGCCTCGCCTAGATGTAGTTGTGTTCGTATGACTGGAGTCGTCACCTGTGTAATGAGACGTGACCGAATACCGACGATCGGATGGTGCCTCGAAGCCTGATGAGGTGTCTCGGTGCGACAGCGCTGTGGATATTACGCTAGAAAGTCGAGTATTCCGAGCCCCTTCATCTTCCGAGGCCGGGTTAGGTGATTTCGTATCAACGACCCTTTTTCGCGCTCGCGCATTAGTAAACCAGGTGTTGACCTGCTTCTCAGTGATACCACATTTTTCGGCTAGTGAACGCTTGGTCTCGGTGTCTGGATACGGATCGTTTCGGTGTTCTTTCAGCCATCCTTGCAGACATCGCGTCGCATGCGACTCAAGCTTTGTGGGTGGCCTTCGGGCACAAGAACGTTTGACCTTTGATGGCTGGTCTGACGAAGTTGGAGACAGCAAACCCGTGTGTAGAGTGCATGAAGCACAGCTGACGGGCTGGTCTGGGTGAATGAGTGCCGAGATCCCACATGCAGAACATCGCGTGGTACTCTCAGATCGGGGAATTTCCTTTGATGGTGTTGCTTTTATAGGATGTTGTCGAGGTGCCGCCGTCGTCGTCTTTGGTAGTTCAGCAGTACCTAGGATAGCTTCAAGCGTCTCGAATCCTTCGCTCGTGCAGTCGTCGCATCTAATGTTCCCGTCGGGGTTGATGATGTTCCAAAGCTGACATCGGAGGCAATCGATACCATCACTCTGCGTCGGCAGCAATGATTCGTCACTAGTGCGAACTTTCGCTGTAAACACGTCGACTTCCGTAGCCAGAGGCCTAGTCGAGTCGGTGATTGTTCTCGCGCGAATGTCATCTACCAGTTCAAGGCTCACAGGTCCGCCAGGGTTTGGTTGATTGTGCTGGTTGAGGTACGTAGGCAACGTTCCATGAATCGTGGAGCTTCCAGACTGGTCGATCTGCTCAGCGTTAATAATTGCGCAACACACAACATTGCGCACGATTGTACCTGGAACCCCTCATCATCTTCCAATGTGCCTGAGCCGTACCCCGAATCAAAAGACCATATACTAGCGGCCTTACTCTTAGGCGGTTGGGATAACATCTTGTTGAAGCGCTACACTAATGTTAGGGTGCGTCAAATCAACGATTAGTTGCCAAGTATCTATCGCAATACCGTCAATAGTACGTGGAGACTGGACCGCGAGTACAAATAACGAGACACGTTCCGCGACGACGCGCGAGGACAACCACTCGATCTATTCTGAGATACAGGGTGTTCGTGGCTTGGGCTGGACGCCTAACGTGTGGCACGACTGTGGCGTTGCCTTGCTATTGGCTTGAGGCCTGTCGTTGTCGGGACAGGGAGGATAGGTACCTCAGCCTCGCCTGAGGCTGAGTACATGGAGGGTTGTACTGTTTGCTTGCCACGCTATACTGAGCGTGGCGCTGACCTGTACTGGCGGTGCGCATCAGAAAGCATCCAGACAGACGGTATGCACTATTTGTGACGAATTTGATGGACCATGGAACTTCTGTTTGCGCGAGTGCATCTAGTGTCATGGATGAGATCCGTTAGAGGTCGTAGTGAGGAGTCGCCCGTCGCCGATACCAGACGTCATCACGGGGAAGGAACCAGCCTCCCGCAAATCGGCGCCCGGGAGCTATCGCGTCACCGTGTTCTCAGACAGAACAACCCCTGTCAAACAATGATATGCAAAAACAAAGATCTTGGGTATTCATTTTTTCCATCTCTCGCTCTACCAAACAATGCCGTAATGCTATGGCGCAATTTTGCGAACGATGTGTGTAACTCGAAGTAGAAGGAGAAGCGCTCTATAGCAGTGCGCCTGACCTTATCCATCCCATAACCATTCCTAGTCCAGCCGCATGCAAAAGATCGTAAAGTCGTTCCATATATTCGTTCCCATGTGTTTTGGCCCTCAAGCGGCTTCTCCAACCACCCCACTGCCAGCACCAGCGCCCTTGCACCAAGGGTGCTCGAGCACCATGCTGATGGTAATCCTTTTCTCCACATTTCGATCTAGCATCAGTCGCACAAGATCGATGCTCTCTTCCGACATGACCCACGGTACGCGGAGATCATGATCCATGATCTCGTCAATGGAATAGAAGGGGTTTTCTTTGTATATGATGGTGTAAAGGAGGATGCCAAGGGCCCAGACGTCTTGTTCTTTACCGCGGTAGGCTTTTCCAGCTAAGACTTCCGGGGCAGCGTAGTCTGAAGATCGTTAGTATGACAATAAGGATTCGAGAGTGACGGGAAACATACCAATTGTGCCTACAAAGACGTCAAAGGGTCCGCTTTTGATGTACGCTGCGCTGCCAAAGTCGATGAGCTTGATGTTGCCTTCACCGTCGAGGACGACATTCTCATCCTTGATGTCTCGATGCACGACCTTCGCTTTAGTGTGCAGATGATGTACCGCTTCTGCGACCTGAACAAAGATCTTACGGCACTCTTTCTCTTCCATGTTGACACGTAGCTCAATATAGTCGAAGAGGTCCATGCCCGGTAGACCGTGCGGTATCATCTCGATGTAGTAGTTGATGTCATCCTCGAAGAAATCGGCCATTTCCACAATATTAGGGTGTTTGAAGCCGTCGCGGCGGAGATAGTCCAGGACGTGAATCTCGAGCGGCACAGTTCCAAGCCTTCGGTCTCGTGTCCACGTG